TGGAGAGCTAAAATGGGCAACAAACAAAGCAGAGAAACTCATTTTAGCTGTTCTTTTCCAAAGGTATCCTCCAGCCTCTCCTCCAACATTGAACCAGGCAACTATGTTAAAATGAATGATGCAATCATCCACCTACCCTCCAAAGCGGTGATACAAGACATTACTATGGAGCTACACTGTCCACTGTGCCGTGATTGGTTCCGAGATCCACTGATGCTAAGCTGCAGCCACAATTTCTGCCAAGCCTGTATCCAAAATTTTTGGAAGCAGCAAACAAAGGAAACATTCTGTCCTGAGTGTAAGATGCTATGTCAATATAGCAACTGTACATTCAACCTTGTACTTGAGAAGCTGGTAGAGAAGATTAAGAATCTACCCATACTCAAGGGCCATCCACAGTGCCCAGAGCATGGAGAGAATCTGAAACTGTTCAGTATGCCAGATGGGAAATTGATCTGCTTTCAATGCAAGGATGCTCGGTTGTCTGCAGGACAGTCTAAGGAGTTCCTGCAAATCTCTGATGCTGTCCACTTCTTCATGGTGGGTGAGCCCTGGGCTTTGAGCAATCCCTTAAGAAAACTTGGAAAAATCTTGTGTAGGGTTTCTTCTCTTTTCCAACCCCATCTCTTTATTCAGATAACGATTAGAAAGCTCAGACTATTCAGAAAATACAACATATTTTGCAAAGTTATTTCTCTAGAGTTGCTGCTTATAGAAAAGGAAGAGTGGAGGAGCTCTGGCTACTCCCTCAACCTAATATTTACCTAACTCTGCCATGACAACACTCTATTAAACACTGTGTACATATGGACATGTAAGATATTGATCTTGTCATAAAAGTTTCAAAATTTGGTCAGGTTTAAAATGAAGAAAATAGCAGAATCAATAAAAATCTAATATTGAGAGTTAAATTTTGTTACATTTGTAATTCATTAAGTGTTTAGAATTTCTGAGAAGAATGGAGAAAGCTGAATTAGTTAGAAGATGTATAGTGAAAGAAAGAGAAAGGACTTGGACTGGGAAATCATTTGAATTGTGAAGGCGAGAAGGAAGAAACAAGTGTTCCAAGTGAGAATAACCTAAGTAAAAGTACAGATGGTGAGAACAGTGTAACTAGAGTAGAGAACATAGAGAGTCCTATTACCTTCTTCAAACTTCTATAGCTAGCTAATAAGAAGGCAAAACTAAGTTTTCTGATGCTTGTAATTTTCTTCACAATTCTTGAAAAGGACAAGAACTATGATACAGGGAAAGGGAAGGATTTTTGCAGCAAGAGCTTGCTTTATTCTGGCACACTGAGGCTTTAAGGAAATGTCCTTTATGGACCTTTATCTCCCAATTTGGTGTGGGTTAATTCTATTTGATATTTCCAGGAGGAGCTTGCCATCCAACAGGGTCAACTGGAGACAATCCTGAGGGAGCTTCAGTCCCTGAAGAACATGCAGAAGGATGCTATTGCTGATTTCAAGGTGAGAAGCAGGGTAGAGGGGTTATGAGATCAAACTGGAGTACACCCTCCAGCTGTGAGGGTACAAAGGTGCCTATACATATATTATCAATACATTAAATGGCACTTGGGCTATAGAATTGGAAAACTGAGACTGTAGGGTGGAAAGACATATGGTGGTGGCGTAAGTTCCTAATAGCTGATCAACAGAGCAGATTGACCTTGCCTCTAATATGCTGATCCTTTTGACGGTTCAATCACTAGGTGATTGTTGTGGGTTGAAATTTGTGTGGTCTTTATCTATGGCAAAGTAAGGAATTTACCAGAAAATATATTAAAGATTTCTATGTCCAAAGAAATACCTTTCTTTCCTTTGGGGTTTTAACTAGGAATCTCTGGGCCAAGATCTCTCAGGTTGCTGGCTTTCTCCATCTGATTTGATCTTTCTTAGCTGCCCCCAAACCAAATAAAGCTATTGCCTACACTTTCAACTTCATAGGAGCTTTAGGACAACATTAATGGTTAGAGATTTGGCAAAATCAGTCCCTAGGTTGGGGATGCTAAACTGGGAGTTCTATTTCTTCATCAATTATTTCATGGAGGAGAGCTTTCTCTGGCATTTGGCATCTGGAAGAAGAAATATGTAGATTCAGAAAAAGAAGAAGGATAGATAGTAATGATGTCTTCAGATAATCTTGTTTCTGTTATAAGAGTTCCTAATTCAGCTATTAGAGTCAATAAAATCTTGACTATTAGAGTCCACATTCATTCATTCAAAAAATATTTATTGAGTGGGTCAGGCATTATACTACTAGATGCTAGGGGTGGGAAACAGATGTTAATTAAACAATCCTACTAATAACAATAAAATAACAACTGTTGTAAGTACTATAAATGAAAATATAGGGTATTATGAGAGCATATAAATGGAGAACATAATCTAGACTGGGGGAATGGAGTGCTCTGAAGAATCACTTATTAAAAATTGATAACTGAACGATAAATAACTTAGCCAAGTGAACTGGGTGAAGGGAATAGGAAAGAGATGGCCTGGAGAAGAATGTTCTAGGAGGAGAAAAGAGCATATGGAAAAGTCCTGAGACAGGAAGGTAGTTACTATGTTAAACAGAGAAAAGTACAATAAAGCTGGAGCATGCTAAGCAAGATGATACTGGTGAGTCAGAAATGGGCCCAATCATGTAGGCCCTTGAGTAGATAATGTTAAGAATTTTGAACTTCAACCTGTGAAGCCATTAAAGGCTTTTAAATAGCACATATTGAGAATGGACATGGCATTTCATCATCTCATTTTGAAAATATCACTCTGGCAGCTGTGTGGAGAATGGATTGGAGAGAGGTAATGGCAAGGACAATTGTTAGAAGTCTACTGTAGTGGTCCCAGAGAATGATTTTGGTGGCTTGGTTTAGTGAGGCAGTGGAGATATAGAGAAATAAATTTCTTGAGCATATGCTTTGAAGCTAAGAATTTACCTGGATGTGGTGAGTGATTAAATGTGAAGGGTGAATGGAGATGTCAAATAGGCAGTTGTATACAGGAATCTGGAGCTCAGAAGTTGGTTGAGGCTGGAGATAAGAAGTCAGCATTATATGGACAATGGAAATAAGTTTACAAAAAAAAAAAA